AAAAAAACAAAGATACGACTCAGTGATGTTTAACATCAAACAGGAAAAGAAGAGACAAAGAGCTGCAGCCATCCGTCTAATAAGATCTATAAATAATAAACCCACTAACACGTGTTATTTTCTATGGACCCTAGGCTTTTTTAATCAAGTGTAACTAAAGCCGATGCTGATGGACATGAATTAGACACACTAAACTCTGGGACATTCTGCAACTGTTCCGTTAGAATTAGACTTCAGTGGTTCAGACGTCATATGACTTCATCATCTTGGTAGAAATCACGGGACTGGGGGCCTAACAGCTGTATCGGAGAATGTGACAGGGTCACTTTATGGCAGGCAGGTCACTTTGTGTTCAATACTAAAGGGTAGGACAGAAAGCACCGTGGTGACCGGCTCCACAAACTCCCTTTGAAAGTCGAATTGTAAAGGTAATAAAGTATTATCTGCAGATTTTTGTTGAACAAAACCCAACCAAATGGATTCTGAGGTGGTACCTGGAGAACTTTGAGTCTCTGCTTGTTATTCTTGGGTACTTTGTTTGCTGTGACCAGCTCAATGTCATAGCCATCTCCAGAATGCCCCACTATGTCATACTGAGGAGAGAAAACACAAATATGTCAGGAGTCACTTCACATAATTCAGATGGACATGAATATAATCTCTCGTTAGAACATCTGGAACAGTTCTCCAAACTTAGAGTGAGAACACACGGTGGTGTGATGCTGGATGAACATCAGAGGGCAACACATCATCTATTATAATTCAGCTCACTTTGTTCATAAAGCACCGTTTAAAACACAAAACATCTCAATGCTCTTTGAAAAACAAACATTCCAGATGAACTCATAGCCCGGAGGTCAAGGGCGCAGGGTCCGTCGGTGCAGACGGTGCCGTGCACCAGGGCCCACGGGCCTCAGGGGGCCCAGAGAGAGACAGGGAGGGAGGAATTGAGAGAGTGCTCCATCCAGCCGGCGGGGCGTGCAAAAGAAGGGGCTGAGGATGCATCTCGACTCAGACGTGGATGCATTATTATTCGTCCTTGGTGTGTTCTGTGCTGTAAAGACGCACTCATGAAACACAACTCGAGTGCATTCGGGCTTGTAAGTGAAGCTGGACTTTTTCTATGCTGCGGAGAGTACCGCTAGATTTTCCACTCATTTGTTAGTTGAAATCATAAAACTCTGTCCATCTTCATTTAAACCAGCCACCCACAATCCCCACCAGCACCACCTCAATACATGCTCCAAGAGGTGCTTCATTTTGGACCCCATCACTGCCATGAAGCACACGACGCATACAGCACTATCAGCTACCGTCATCAGGCAAGAGGAGAGAATAAAATATACGAGTTATCTGACACCATGCGCGTTCCCACAAAGAAAGGCATCGTAAAACGCCTGACCAACCAGTGGTTAACTGTGCAGACAGGCATGGAGGAGGAGAGATGGCCTCCAAACAGAAATATAGATCAGGAGTAAACATCAAAAAGAAACGTCTTAACAAGAGGAGGAGTATGTTTACTTGAAACAGGGTATCTGCAGGTTTATGGGAGCCAAATTTAAGACTTTTTAAGACCTTTTTAAGGCCACTTTGACCAAATTTAAGCTATTTTTTTAAATTTAATTTCTGCTATAATTTCCAGCTATTGCCTGGGACCGGTGCTAACCACGTCGCGAACGTGGGATTAATCATCCAGTTACCATTAAACTTGCACTTCTCCACGGCACAAGCTCCCACTAGCTTAACCAGCTAATGTGCTCATCTAAAAATAGTCCCCTTTCACAACCAACGTGAATGTGTACAGTTCCGCTTACGCCAACATCACACACAAAAAATGCTGAAGACTAACTAGAAATTCACAAAAATGAATAAAATAATCTAGTTTAATGGGTCTTTGGTAATTTAAGACCTTTGGAAACCGTATTTAAGGATTATTTGTAATTTTTAAGGATTTTCAAGGCCTTAAATTTGAAAAAGTAAATTTAAGACTTTTTAAGACTTTTTAAGGACCCGCGGATACCTTGTTGAAAGTGAGGATGTTGTTGGAAACAAAAGGAAAACTTTGTGGGCAAAAACACCCCAGCTGCTGCTGATCATGAGACAGAAGAGAATTCTGACTGGACGTGGACTGAGCTTAGACTTTACAGCAGCCTGGTGATCATTCATGAAATATCTTTTAAATGCATAAACCTTCACCTCTGTCGAATGTTGTCTTCAGTTTAGTCCGTGTTATCAACATTATTACTAACCTAGTGAATATGGTTTAAAGCATTTCTGTTGAGTGGGACCAATATGAATACCAAAGAAAAATGCTAAAAATATTCAATAAAAATTAAAAAGAACTTCATATAAGTATATGGAAACAATCATCTGACCTTGAACGTGAACAAAACAAAGGAGATGATTTCAGACTTCAGAAGAAACAGGGTGGAGTCAAACACTGTTTCCATCATGGGAGAAGAAGTGGAGGTGGCTGAGGAATACAAATACCTTGGAGTTCACCTGGACAACAGGCTGGACTGGAGAAAGAACAGTGAAGCCGTTTACAAGAAGGGACACAGCAGACTGCACTTCTTGAGGATGCTTAGGTCCTTCAATGTCTGTAGCAAGATGCTGCAGATCTTCTACAAGTCTGTTGTTGAGAGTGTAATCTCTTCAGCTATCGTCTGTTGGGGTAGCAGCATCAGAAGCAGGGACCTAAAAAGGCTCAACAGCCTAATAAAAAAGGCTGGTTCTGTTCTGGGGACGACTGTGGAACCACTGGAGGAGATAATGCAAAGAAGGATTCTCCAGAGAATCAAGAAAATGATGGACAACCCTGAGCATTCTCTGCACAAGACTGTCCGACAACGGAAGAGTGTCTTCAGTCAGAGGCTTCTTCAGTTTGGCTGCAACACTGACCGCTACTGGAGATCCATCCTGCCAGCAGACATTGTAATATACAACAACTCTTTGATGACTTGATTACTATTATGATTCTGAGCTACTACAGCAATCAATTTCCCTCTGGGATTAATAAAGTATTGAACTGAATTGAATATGTAGGTTCAAAGCCTCCACCTGTGGTGATTGTCTCGTCCCACAGTGCAAGACTTCTTTTGATCAGTCTGCTCTTTCTGTAAAGGGGGCCGAACGTTGGAACTCTCTACCTACTGACCTAAAACTAGAAATGGACAGTAAAGTTTTTAACAAATAACTCAAAAAATGGTTTAAGTCTAAACAACAGTGTCTACATGAATAGTTTTAAACTCTTACATAGCTGCTCAAATTGCCTTGTTTTATTCTTTTTATTCTTTTTTTATTGAAAATTGTTTGCAATTTTAATCTGTTTTCTGTTTGATTTATTGTTGATCTCGTTGTATTTTATTTAAATGTATTCTACTTTTTAGAAAGGTTCTATGGAAAAGTGTTGCAAATTAGCACGTGTGCTAACACACTAAACAATGCATCTGGTTCGTCCAATGTAATTGCTGTGTCCATGTCAAATAAGCATCACATATTTATAAAACATGCAATGATTTTTTAAATATGTCAAAGTAAGAAAGACCATCTGTGAAATTTATCCAGTCCAAATTGGCAGGCTGATGACATCATAATATGCAAATAAGGTGGGTGAATTTGCTCCCAACACATATTTTTAGTCATACTGAAGATTTTCCTCCTTTACAGTTTACTTCGTCTCTAGCCATTTGAATCTTATGACAAAGCTCTGGCACCTACAGGGTTACGTTCGGTTTTCCTGACTGCTGCTGCTAGCGGTTTAATAAAAATAGTAAACAGTGAGCCAGATAGTGGGCATCCCTGCCTCTGAAGATAGAAGCCGGCCAGTTGTCCTGACATGCTGTTGAACTGTATAATATTTTTATCCCGTTTATGAAAGAGTGTTTGGTCACCTTGAACTTGTGCTCATAGTTCTCCAAAGCCTCCATCACCATGCACACAGCTTCCATGGAGCGCTCCAAACGACTGTCCACCCCGTTGAAGCGGTACATGCTACCAGACACGTCAGCCAGCACACGCAAACGCTTGGGTTTCTGCTGCGGACTGCCCAGCTGGGAGGAAGCAAAAAGTCACAATGACTGTTTCAGGCCCATGAAATAGCAGAGCACTGCAGAAAAATGTAAAACATTTGCTGGGAGATCAGTCAAGTTATTTAGATCTGAATCGGGACCTGTGAGTGTCAGTGTAAATCAGGTTGACAGAAACTCTAATACACGTTTTCCACCAGTACCTACTGAGCATGACTTGGCTAGTCCATGTACAGTCTCAAGCAGCAATGGGAACCAGACTGCAGAGCTTTTAAGTTCCTGCTTCCATCTGGCTCCATACAAGGTGGGCCATTTCTATGGACACACCTTAATAAAACAGGATGGTTGGTGATATTAACGTTGTGTTTGTGGCACATCAGTATATGTGAGGGGGCAAACTTTTCAAGATGGGTGGTGAACAAGGTGGCCATTTTGAAGTCGGCCATCTTGGATCCAACTTTTGTTTTTGTCAATAGGAAGAGGGTCATGTGACACATCAAACTTATTGGGGATTTCACAAGAAAAACAACAGTGTGTTTGGTTTGAATGTAACTTTATTCTTTCATGAGTTATTTACAAGTTTCACTTTGTTCACAGCCATTGACATGTCGAAGAGGATAACACGTGAGGAGCAGATCAAAATTGTGTTGGTATCTGGTGAACACAGTAACCGGGTCATTGCAGCAGATTTCAATGCAAGACACCCTACGAGACCACCCATCTCCCCATACTACAGTTAGCAAACTGCTTGCTAAGTTTCATGAAATTGGATCAGTGTTGGATTAGCCAAAATGTGGACGCATGAAAACGGTCACTAATGAAGAAACATCAGCGGCTGTCCTAGCTTCATTCAGCAAGTGCCCACAGTGTAGCGCTTGCCACATGTCACTGGAGAGTGGCATTAGTCGAACATCCCTTCGGCAGATATTAGCTACTCACAAATGGCACCCTTACAAACTCCAGCTACTGCAGCATCTCAATGAGGATGACCCAGATCGGCACACAGAATTTGCAGAATGGGCAAAACAAAAATGGAACAGGACCCTCAGTTCACGCAGAAGACTTTGTTCAGTGATGAGGCAAACCTTTATGTGAATGGTGAAGTTAACAAACAAAACCACTGCTATTGGTCTGACACTAACTCACATTGGATAGATCCCTCCAAGACTGTTGGAAAAAAAAAGTGATGGTATGGTGTGGTATATGGGTACAAAGATAGTGGGGCCATTCTTCATCAATGGAACCCTCAAGGCCACTAGATATTTGAAATTGCTACATGATGATGTGTTTCCCTCTTTACGCACTGAAGCAGGCACGTTCCCTGAGTTTGTCCAGCAAGATAGTGCACCACCACGTTATGGGTGTCAGGTCCTAGCATTCCTAGATGAACAGTTTCCTGGAAAGTGGATTGGTCGTCGTTGGCCAGTTGAATGGCCCCCAAGGTCTCCTGATCTGACCCCCTTAGACTTTTATCTTTGGGGTCATCTGAAGGCAATTGTCCATGGTGTGAAGATACGAGATGTGCAACACCTGAAACTATGGATACTGGGAGCCTGTGCTGGCATTTTTCCTGCGGTGTTGCTATCAGTGTGTGAAGGGTGGGAGAAGAGGGTTGCATTGACAATCCAACACAATGGGCAGCACATTGAACACATTTTATAAGACGTCAGAAACTTGTAAATAACTCATGAAAGAATAAAGTTAACACCAAGCACACCATTGTTTTTCTGGGCATCATGGGCCGGTGTCTTGACAGCTGCCGTGGATCTGTTGCTGTCAAGGCAGATGGCTCTGCTGATGATGTGTCGTCCATTACCTGACCCATCTGAACTCAGCCTATTGTTGTTCTCTGTTGTTCACGTATGTGTGTGTGTTTGTTTGTGTGTGTGTGCGAGTGTGTGGGTGAGTGTATGTCCACCTTGGAAATTGGTTGCGGGAGGGGAACTGCAATTGTCAATTGTTTTATACTTGGGGAGGGGGGCTGGGATGGGAATATGGGATCTATGGGGCCATTTTAATTTGTGAAGCACTTTGAGTTGCATTTTTTTGTATGAAAAGTGCTGTATAAATAAAGCTGATTTGATTTCATGTGAAATTCCCAATAAGGCTAATGTGTCACATGACCCTCTTCCTATTGAAAAAACAAAAGTTAGATCCAAGATGGCCGACTTCAAAATGGCCACCACGGTGGCCACATCTTGAAAAGTTTGCCCCCTCGCGTATACAAATTTGCCACAAACAGGACATTAACATCACCAACCATTCCCATTTTGTTAAGGTGTATCCATAGAAATCCCCCCCCCCCCTACATTGTCAGCACCTGTTGGCCACAGATCAGCTAGGGAGTGGAGTCACTGGTTACTCCAGAGTTTGTGTCATGTACAGATCACTTCGTGTGTCCCCCATACTGACCCCATCTACTTGAACTGCGTCTCAGTTGTAATGGAATATCACCTAAAACATGTAGAGGTATGTCGTGCTGAGTACTGCTGCCGCATAAAACACACCTCTGGGTCCAGCTCTCCTCTGCGTTTATAAATAGCTTTTTCTCCTGTTAGACCATCAATGATTTTAGCGTCATCCAGTTCTCCCAGTGCCTGGTTCTTCAGCCATTGGCGCTCCTTCCCTTTAGCCTGAAACACACACATACACCGTTTATTAGAACGTTTGCTGTTATAACTGAATCAAATGAACCAAGACCTCCTTTGGTCAAGTGTTTATGCTGTAGCTTAACTGTAGTTAGCATTGGCATCCAGTCAGAGTCCCAGCAAAGCTTCTAGTATTATAATTATTTAGTTCTAGTAGCTTGGCTGTTAGATTTTAGTTTAGTGTTTTTTACATGTGACTCTTTCACCAAGTTGATGGGGTTTGAACCGGGTTATAGTAAGAACATTATTTCTATAGCACTTATCATAGAATCACAAAGTGCTTCAAATAGATCAAAACAAAAATAAAAAAGTTATAAAATCATAAAGATCTCAAAACAGAAAAACATTAACATCAGAAAAATAAAGTCATAAAATTATAACATTTTATAAACAGATGAAAGATGATTACAAATTTGAGTTAAAAATAAGAAAATAAAAGATTTAGGTAAAAGCAGCTTTAAATAAAAGGGTCTTCAACTGTTTTTAAAGGTGTCCAGACTGTCAACGCTGCGTAAGGATAAAGGAAGACAGTTGTTGGTTGAGTGAAATGACAGAAGCAGAATGAGCTTAACTAGTTATGGTTATTACCTCTGTAGCGTACCAAATGGCCAAGTATTTCACCAAAATGAACAGAAGTTAACTTTTAACGTACAGGCCAGACTTCTTCCTACTGGTCAATCCGACATCGTGGTGCTGATACGGCTGCAAGAGACGCAGGACTCCTTATCTATCCTCTTCTTATCTATCCTCTTTGAATAAAGTCTATCTTCCCTGGCTCATAAATGACTTTAAAACTTCGTATAATCATATTTTGTTGAATGAACAATTAGTTTAAATCCAAAGTGTTTTAATAATTGTCCTTTATTTTACATTCATGATGGGTTAACATGAATATTTTTCCTGTAATGATTTAATTCAGATCCTAATTCACACCAGATCAGTATTTGTTGATTTCAATAATTTAATTTATCGGCATGAACACAGTAATTTTACTATATTGTCATTAATGGTTAAAACATTTGTGCTTCACATAACTGTTTAACATTTTACGTCACACTTAGCATAACCTCTAAGTATCTGCTATGCAGACGACACCCAGCTCTATCTGTCATTTCCACCGGATGACCACACTGTCTCTGCACGAATATCAAACTGTCTCTCTGACATATCAGAATGGATGAAATCCCACCATCTTCAACTCATCCGCTCTAAAACTGAACTACTTGTCATCCCAGCAAAACCATCCATACAGCACAATATCTCAATCCAAAATGACTTCCTATCTCTGGCTCCTTCAAAGGCAGTTTGAAATCTGGGTGTCGTGATTGATGAACACCTGACCTTTAAAGATCATGTTGCCTCTGTTGCTCGTTCATGCCGCTTTGCGCTGTATAACATACGAAAGATCAGGCCATACCAAACACAACATAAAACCCAGCTCCTGGTGCAATCTACTGTCATCTCCCGCCTCGATTACTGCAATGCCCTTCTAACTGGTCTTCCAGGCTGTGCTGTGAGACCTCTTCAAATGGTCCAGAACGCAGCGGCGCGTCTGGTCTTCAATCAGAATAAAGAGCACACGTCACCCCTCTGTTCATTGAGCTCCACTGGCTACCGCTAGCAGCACACATCAAATTCAAATTGCTAACACTAGCATACAAAGTCCGAGATGGTACGGTTCCCATCTACCTGAATCCTCTTGTAAAGGCTTACGTCTCAGCCCAGCCGCTCCGGTCATCACAGGATCGTCGGCTAGCAGTGCCTACACCACGCTCAGGACAATCCAGACTCTTCTCATGCATCATTCCACAAATGTGGAATTGTGGAATGACCTACCAAGCACTACCAGAACAGGGGCTTCCTTTTCAATTTTCAAGACTGACCCTGCTCTTCAGAGAGCAGCTTCTAAACTAGCACCCTCCCTGCACCCGCCCCCCCTCTCTACTGTCCACTCCTTGTTCCCTACTCTCCATGATTGATGTCAAGTTGTTGCTATTGTTGTTGTTAGCCTCAAGGGCAACATGCTGATTATCACTTGTAAGTCGCTTTGGACAAAAGCGTCTGCTAAATACATAAACATAAACGTAAGTATCTGAGTGAAGGAGTGATTTCCTGAGGTATTTTAGTAACGCTGTTGTATGGAGTATAATCAGACTTGTTAATGTATGGAATTAATTCTGGATTATGTCTCTCATTAAGTGAAATCAATTCTAGGCTCCCCAAGGTGTATCCGTGTGTGTGTGTGTCCCTACAGCCTTGTCTCTTATCACACCTGAAGTCGTAAATTATTAGTTGCCTTCACCGAGCTGTTTCGGTCTCACGGTTCTGTGGTAACCTTTTTTGACCTCCGGAGAAGTGGAGGAGGCAAGGATTGTGTCTTATTAGTCCAGGTGCATGAGCTAATAAACAGACCATGTACTTGTAAAATGGATAAGATCGCTAAAACAAGCAGTAGAAATTAGATTTCCTGATTTCTCCCCAAGGCCAGGATGGAACGATGGAGGGGCAACGTTGGGCTAATGTCAACAGCATGCAGAGAAGAAGAAACAAGAGAACGTATGAAGACTGGGAGAAGAAAAGGTGACACCATGACATCCAAGATTTATGCTCTCTTCAGGGCTGTTGGAGAAGTAACAAGAAGAAGAGGAACACGTGACCAGGAAGTCTGAAGTCTGAAGCAACAAAGAAATGACTGTGAAGGAGGGGTGAGAGTGAATAAAAAGGAGCTACTGGGTCTGGAGGAAGGGCCTTTGACAGGAAGTGTGTGTGAGGTACAGAGATGGAAAGGAGGAAGCTTTTGCTTTGAGCTTTTTGTCTGTGATAATCTGACCTAGTATCATTTTTGGAGAGCTTATTCAGCTCAACTTTGCTATAACTCGGTTTAATGGCAAAGAGTTGTTTCACTTTTGAACCCGCTTTGTCGGGATTTTGTTTGGATTAGTATTCTTTTTTCATCTGTGTGAAATAAAACCTAGTTCCTTGGATTCAAGGAACGAAAAAATGATTTACGATTGGGGTCTCCTCCTGTCGGTGGCCGAGCAAAGGTGAGATGCTGGTTGTAAATGCCATCCCTAGGTGTTATTGATTTAAGTGTTTCCTCCATCCTAGGCTACAGGTAAAGTCAGTTGTCTCCTCAGCATAAAAGGAACAGCTGGCAAGGGTCTTAACCTGAAGTGTACATAAGCTTCATGGACTGAGGGTGTGTGTAGGTGTGTTTGCGCCTCCTTTGTGTCTGCTTAAACAAATGTTGGTCAGAATTAGAAGCCCTGGGTAATTTGGTGATTGCTAATCAACTCTCTACAGAGTAAGGATGTTTGTTGGTGACTGATGCCACTCTCACTACACTGATTACAAGTCAACCCTGAGATATTAGTCAAATCCAGAAGAGTGGAGCTAGCCCGGTAAATTGGCTGGTAACAAACGCCTTTTAAAACTTGTCAATTCTGATTTGTCTAAATGTGTCAACAGCGGTTAATAAAGGCTAGGTCACTTCCTGATCTAGCCAGTTCTTACAGACCAACCTGTAAGCTGTCCAGGATGATACGAAGAGACTGGACCTGTCTGCTGACCGCGCTGGAGAACCGCTCATATGTAGAAGCATCATACTCGCTCATGTCTATCTCCTTCAGCCTGAGAAACAAACACAGAAACAAGAGGTCCATGACCTTTAGGCAAGCAAAGGAATGATTGACTTTCCTTTCAAAGACTTTTCATTGAGCATATGAAACAAAGCATTGCATGATATGATAAACAACACTAATGCTTCATGACTGTGCAGGTCGGGTCCATATCCACGGTAGAACCAGTGCCTAACTGGGTTGTGAATGTTAGTAACCCATTAGGGACAACACATTTGAGAGCAAATTTACTGATTTTCACTTGAAAAAAACTTTATTCCACAACAATATGCTGGGGTCTCTGAGGAAAAAGAACATTTAGATTAAAGTAAAATATAGTATTTAAATCATAAAGTTATTTTAAGATTGGATCTCGATCTGAACACAGCCTGATTCTGACTGATTATTGTGCTTAAACATCACTCTTTTGGAGGTTATGGGACAAGTGCTAGCTGGTTCTTCAAGTGAAGACTCCATAGATCTGCTAAAGGACCTCAATGCTAAGGTGGGCAACAAGTGTGACCGTTTAATTATAGATTCACTAGGATAGAGACAATAAAGCTCATCTCTCACCAAATAGAATATTTACTAAGAAATCACAATGTAACCATAGACACACTACTTGGTGTATATGTTGTGTGTGTGTGTGTGTGTGTGTGTGTGTGTGTGTGTGTGTGTGTGTGTGTGTGTGTGTGTGTGTGTGTGTGTGTGTGTGTGTGTGTGTGTGTGTAAACGAACATGTGTGTGGGTATACATGTTCTTATGTGTTTTTAGGTATTTTTATTCTCATTTATTGTGGTTGTTGTATGTTTTAGAGAGCGAACATCTACCGAAGACAAATTCCTTGTAAATGTACTTTTACTTGGCCAATAAATCTGAAATCTGAAATCTGAAAAAATAAAAAAAAATTATTGGTTTTCATTTAAATTGAAGTACAACATATGTATGATCCAGTTTGTGAGGCAAAGAGGGTTAGAAAATAGCAGATTTGTTACTGTCCGGCGCCTCAGGAGGTCTGGAGCTCCCTAGTTGGGACGCTGCCCCTGCGACCCGGACCCAGATAAGCGGAGGAAGACGACGACGACGACAAATGACTGTTTAACAGATTTGCTTCACATAGGGGAAATAAGCTTTTCTAAGTGTCTGAGAAAGGGGAGGTCTGAGGACTCTTGGACAATGTCTCTTAAACTTTCTTAAATCTGGTTGGTCCAAAACTTAAAAGCAACAAACCCTTAGAAGAGGAAACACTTCCTATATTCGGCACTTCCTGCAAAGCTTCCAGCTTAAGATAAATTACAATCAAACCAGATTTTCTGTGGAATAATTTTAGCGGCATTAGAACCATCCTTTTTCAGAATCAACCAATTATTGTTTGTTTTCTTCTGCAAAACAACTTATCAGACGTGAAACAATCCGCCTGCAGACCCAGGAGGCCACCTCTGACCAGCTGACGTGGATTCAGAGGAAAATGGTCTGTGACACCTAGCACTAGCTTTACTGAAGAAATGAAATTCTGATGACTTATTAGCATCATGGGCCAGTCCATCATCCTCCTTTCTTTGTTGTGTAAGCACACTAATTAGCAGGCATGCTCTCACATTTGCAGTTATTTGTATTTCTTTACTCAAACCATCATGTAGCCCAAATACGTGTGTGTTTGACATGGATAATCTAACATCAGGGACAAAACTAAACAAAATATTCCACACTTTGGCTTAACTGCAAACATGAAAGACATGAAAGAAGTGTGTTTTATTGATAAAAAAGGAAATGAAAAATCTGCCAAAAAGGTTCATAACACTCAGTTTGTAATGCATGCTTGTTTTCTACAGGGTGGGCCATTTATATGGATACACCTTAGTAAAATGAGAATGGTTGGTGATATTAATGTCCTGTTTGTGGCACATTAGTATATGTGAGGGGGCAAACTTTTCAAGATGGGTGGTCACCATGGTGGCCATTTTGAAGTTACAGACGGTGTATTTTATTTGCATTCTTCACAGAGCCAGTGATCCTGCTCTCTGCATTGGCACTGGGGTGCTTGTGACAAAGATGGCGCCGGTGCGGTTGGCATGCCGTCTGTCTCCTAAATCTGTTTTGTTTTTTTGTGTCTTCTTTTGCTTTTTTCAGTAGCTCTAACGCTAAAGTTGTGTACGATCATCAGACTCCTGGATTTAGGTCGTTGGTTTATTTTTTATTTTTTGGGATCGAACGATCATGGTTGGAAATCTTCTTACTCACCTGTTCTCTGTTCTGAGCCAGCCTACGTAGGTTTGGCCAGCCACACCCGATAGGATAGTACCTCACCGTCGCAGGGGGAGATGTATTGGTCGGCGGGTGAAGCTCAAGTTGGCCTGGTTGTGTTCTAAGAATAGAGTATTGGATATTGATGAGTGCTGGCGCTCGTCTTTTTCTCAGAGACTTTTGGATCCATTGAGGTCATGCCTGGTTGCAGCTTCAGGAGTGGTGGAATTCTCCAAAGCCTCTCTTCCTTGCTGTTCCCAGATCTTTCGACGTGGTATTCGACATTCGAATCTTAGGCCTATTAAGAGGATTCCTGGAGTAAGGATGGCTCTGATGCTACTTCTATAAAGTTTGCCTCTCAATGCCAATAAGACTTTTATTTTGAAGGACTTCTTGGGTGAGCAGAATCTTTCTTTTCTCCGTCTGACTGAGACGTGGGTCGGAGCAGGTGAGTCCAGTGTGTTTTCTGAACTTGTCCCACCTGGTTGCTCATAGTTTAGTAACCCACGTCAAGTGGGGGGTGGCATGGCTGTTTTTAAGGATGAAACTTGAAAACACATTTTCTTACCTGCTACCTTCTCAAAGTTTTGAACTGAGCCTCTTTGAACTCGGTCGGGTTAAGCCATTTCTCTGTGTAGTGGTTTACAGACCGCCGAGATATGAGGATTTTCTGGATGAGCTTTTCAGATTTTAAGGCTTGTTGCATCACGTGACATGACAGATTTTATATTATGGGTTTAATATTCACCTTTGCTGCCCTAATAAACTGCTGGTGAATTTTAAAATACTTTGGACTCTTTTCGTGTCTGGTCCGACTACTTCTGACGGACATTTGTTGGATGTTGTGTTGATGTGAGATGTATCTGTGAGTAATTTATTGGCTCATGATGCAGTTTTTCTGATCAATGTCCTGCTTTGTTTGACGTTTTAGTTCCTTTTGTACCTGTTTTAGCAGTGTCCAGTCTAACGATGGAAGGATCTTGAATTCCTCTACTGCTGAATTGTTTGTGGCTGACTTTCAGAGCCTGTCTACTACAGAGATGGTGGAGAGATCCAATGCTTCCTGTCTCCTTGTTTTAGATCTAACCGCCCCTTTTCGATCTTGTCGACACAAATTGAAGCGTGAGCCATGGCTGAATGATAGTACTCGTGCAGCCCGAAGAAACTGTAGGAAATGTGAGCAGAACTAGAAAATAAACATGATGCAGGCATCATTTCAAGAGCTGAGGTCTGCATGGCGCTCTTATCAAAAGACTGTAAAAAAGACAAAATCTACCTTTTTATCTGATAGTATTAACTCTAATGAGCAAAACCCTTGAGTACTTTTATCTACTGTGGATGGGATTTTAAATCCTCCATGAATCGGGGGTCTGGAAGCTGCTATGACTACTGCTGAGGGGTTTTTGAATTATTTTATAGACAAGACTGATGTCATTCGAGCTCAAATTCTGCAGCAATCCACCTTTACAAATGATGCCTGTTTTGATTGGACTTTTTTGGATTCTTTAGATTCTGTGTGTGGTGGTTCACTTCAATATATAAGAGGAATTTATGGTTTGAGTGAGCATTAACATGAACCAGAAGTCCTGAACTGCAGTCTGCGGTTTGTGAAAAAAGCGGGGGGGGGGGGGGGGGGGGGGGGGTAATTATTTCACTTTTTATTGATGAAAACTGCTTTTGTTTGCAGATTGCAGAGTATTTCGTACAGGTGCCCCCTTATGAAACTGAAGCAGAATAAAACATAAAGGAGAGTTATGCTGACATCTTCATTCATCTTCGTGTGCATGCACGAGTGACTGGGTGGAGAAAACAGACACGAGATGGCCTGCTGTCAATATGCGAGTACACTTAAGTTTACGTACAAAATCCCAGATATATAAACACTTTGCCATCACAAGACAGGAGGTTTAGAGAGAAACTTATTGAAGACAAATTAAAGTTATTAAAGCCCGTATGAGCTCTGTGGATGGAAAACGTCTGTCTCTTTTTATTCTCTCCACTTCTCTGAGCTGGCGGTGCTGTGCGCGTGGCGCTGCGCCAGGACAAGCTGCTGGGTAGCAGAGAGCATCATGGCAGCGGGAGAGCAACAGCAGGTGAAGCGCATCAGCTTCACGGGTTATACAGGTAGCAGAGGAAGAGGAGGCGTCGCTTTCCACATGACTTCAGCTAGACCGGTGGATCCAGGAGCAGCCGAGGGACTGAATAAAGAGTTTGGAGACGATCTGCTGGTGTGTGTGTGTGTGTGTGTGTGTGTGTGTGTGTGTGTGTGTGTGTGTGTGTGTGTGTGTGTGAGAGAGAGAGAGAGACCCCGACCTAGCTGCACGGCTACGTCCTAACGTACAAAATGAGCCTGTTCAGGAGGGGCGGGACAGTGCGCTGGGGGGACTGTGGATGGCTGGTATTTACTTGGCGACGGGCAGATGATTGTCTGGTTGGACCAGAAAAACTACCGGAAGTCATCAT